TAACAATTTTGAATGCAATATAAGTTCCTGAAAAATTACAGAAAAATAGAAAATAAAACTGAAAATAAATAAAAAATAATAGGAAAACATACTGGAAGATGCCTTGAGTTACCCACCCAACTTGGAATTGGTACACCCCACACCCGATTCCTTGACCAATGACGCACGCTATCCTTCTTTCTCTAGTGTTTAAGAGAACTAAAAAATAAACCAGGGTTTATACAAATATAGGAACAAAAATAGGGCAGATCTCAGGAGTTGATATCTCTTTAAGTGGGCTTCTATTTCTTCCTTAAAAAAAATACAACAAATATTGGGATAGTTCTCAAATAGGTTCAGACTAGGTCTTAAATAGAAGAAAATCTAGAACAAAACTTATCTCCTAGTTGGAATAGGATTCTAGTTTGAATAAGATTCCAACCTTATTTAATTTCCGTTGAAACTTTTAGTATAACTAGCAAATCTGTGGAGTAAGAGATTAATCAGAGCCATCCATCTCAAAAATCAGCCATCATGATTTTGGGTGGATAAATTAGGAACCTTATCACCTTACACTTTGACCTAGTGCACTCCTATTTAAAATAAAACCAATCAAGTTTAAATTTTATCCATTTAAAATTTTAAATCAAACTTAAAATATTTTCTAGATAAATCTAATCTAGATTTCCCACAATATTAGGAAACCATATTTCAATGGATTTCTCATCTTTAGATTTATCATATTTAAATTTGATTTTAAAAATAAAGGGGCGTACCCCTTTTTTCCCCAAAAAAATGGCATGGGGTTATTGTGCCCCAAAAAGTGGCATGCCCCCTTTCTTTTGTTAAAAAAAATTTCAATTAAAATAGGTGTCCCTCTATTTTCCTCAAAAAGTGGGGTGCCACTATTTTACCAAAAATAGTGGCATGCCTCCCCTTTAAAACTCCTTTCCAAAAACTTAGGGCTTGGCCCCTATTTTCCGAAAGTATTTGGGGGTCATGCGTGCTCCCTCTTTAGCAAAAAAAATAGGGTGTGCCAAATATGATATACAAAAATAGGCCGTGGTCCCTGGGGTACACGATGTGCCACATCTGGTTTGGATCTTTCGTCCTACATGTGTTATTTAAAGTTTTGAAAATTTCAGAAGTACCCTTTTATGAAAATTTACAGTAGAAATAAGTGACAATAAGAACACTACACTCGCCTCAGAAACCATGATCCACAACTGTTCTCTTATCCAACCCTACAAAGTCCCATGACCCACAGTCTCTTTGCAGGGGCTTATGATTGACTTGTCAATATTGGATAGTAAAACAATGAGACCATGATCCTAGAATGTGGATGACAGTCCTCCTTTAAGAGCAGGTCTAGCACTTGTCACTAAAGTGCAAATGGGGCTCTCTCAATGCACATGTACACATGTCCCTCTATGAAGGGCTATTTCCCATGTGGCTATCATATGTACATGCTGTGCGGAAGTTTGTTGAGGATTTGGCCTTTGTTTTCATAGACCTACAACCATACACCAGAGACACACAATTCTCCTAGCTTATTCCCTAAGCAGCTCTCCGACATCAACAAGGGATGACCTATTTCAAACCCTTCTCAGTTGTGCCATATGCCCAGGGCCAAAATTTTTAGACATGACCAAGGCCATAAACTGCCTAACCCTTTTTGGCAGTCAACGAACACTCCCACTGAAGTGCATATTCCACTATTCATCATTTTTACAAGCTCTCTAAGCCTTTAAAGGCCACAAAACCCAACAATATTTGGGTTTTAATTATGATTTACAGTAGTGTGTAGTTGTCCATGTAAGTGGACTTCAAGTAATATTGAATAAAAAAAAAGATTATTGATTTTGCTATGTTGAGTTTAACATACCGACTCCTTTCATAGATGATGTACTTCGTAGTTTGGTTTTATCATTATCATCATCAGAGCCTTTTACTTCGTAATTTGGTTTTATCATTATCATCATCAGAGCTTTTTCCCAATTATTTATATGAATCCTAGTCCGCTATGTTACTCCATCACAGAGCACAACCTCAGTGAGGTCTACCCCTTGCCCATTTTGAGCCTTGTACTTGAACCAACTCGTATCTTGTAACATGTGCTATATTGGGTTTGCATTGCACATGGCCAACTCGCCTAAGCCTACTTTCTCTCATCTTATTACCTATTGGAGCCACACTGAAGTTCTCCCAAATGTATTTATTTCGAATTCTAGCCCTTCTTGTCTTGTCACTCATCGATCTCAACATTCTCATCTCAACTACACTCATCCTATAGGTATGTTTTTTTTGGTCGACCAACATTCCACCACATAAAAGAATGTTGGTCTCCTAGCTGTCCTATAGAACTTCCCTTTTAGCTTCATTTGTATGCGGCGATCACATAAAACTCTAGTTGCACATCTCCACTTTGCCTATCCAGCGCTAATTTTATGTGCGTACTTCGTAATCTGGTTTGATAATAAAAATTTTCTATTCTTTGTACCACTGCAGTTTACTCACCAAGCTCCATGTAATGGCGGCTGGTTTTGGAGCTAAACGAATTCTGTTGAGAGATAGAGGCCTTCTAGCAATGTCCTCGAGAATGCGAGAGCAAAGATTTAAGGATGTTTTGTTCATCCTGGGTATGAACGAGGATGATGAGAGATCCCATGGGCAAAGTGCAAAAGGGCCTCCAATGAACGGTGATGAATTCTTCCCAACAAGTTATGGCCCTTAAAATTTGTTAACACCATAGGTGACTAGGGATTCCTTCCTCCAAGTTCTAAGATTTTGTGGATTTCATGGCTCCCCAGCTTTTTGTCCATCTTGGCAAAGTGAGACGGCCTCCCCTGAAAAAGGCCTTTCTAGATAGTAAGGCTTTCGCAACAGACTGAGCGGAGTGGAAGGAAATTATATATTTGCATTCCTGAAGGGGCTCGCAAAGAAGAGGAGGAGCTTTGAAGGTGGATTCGAGCCATTATTTGATTCCGTTGATATCGTTCCTTTGTGGTGTGAAAGAAGTGATGGTTGAGAACTTTAGGGAGAGAAGTTCTTCTAATTCTAGACTTTCGTTGATCCTCAATATGGTTGGTCTCCCCCAAAAGTTGCTTGAGTTTAAGGTTTGGAGAAGTTGACAAGGCTGTTGGAGGCTTAGAGCTAATCTTACGTGGTTGGTTGTGGCATCAGAGCTGCTTCACTTCAGCTGAACCGGCCAAGTCTTTAGGTTTGGCCCTTAAACTGAAGTGTAGTCACTCCCATGTTATTGTAATTTATTTGTATTATTTTCATAAGTACCCCCATTATATTCAAAATTCATAAAAATAGTCCTTAAATATTAAAAATTTTGGAAAAAACCATCCAAATTACTTGAATTCAAGATATGTTGTATCAGTTGAAATGTTTTAGAAAATTCTTAGGTCTACATACATGTTTAAAATTTTTAGCCTTTTTTATTTTTGAAAATTCACTCTTAGACTTATGTTAACCGTATCAAAAAAATTCACTCGTAGACTTTCCCTGATTCGGCCAAAGAGCTGAAGCACTTCACTTCCATTGTAAAAAATAAGTTCCCTCCAGGTGAATCTGAGAACATTGCTTAAAGCTAGCAAAATACTTGCAACCTACTTATGGATAGGACATTGATGCCTTATGGAGTGCCGCTAGGTATAGAGTTTCGAAAATAACGTTCGGGTGCAAATATCAACTTTATGGATGTGACATTGTGTTGAATACTGCACTGGAGTGGCCCTAGGCAGAGAGCTACAAACATACCCTTCAGTGTGCGAAAATTAGATTTAGCAATAACCTATTTTGTTCATTAGCTACTTTTAACTTCGACAGAAAAAGTTACTCTTTGGGGAACCCTGGCCACACAGAAGCAGGTGGTGTCTTTAGAGATCACCAACGTAATATCCTCGTCACCTACTCTGAATATCTTGGCTTTCAAGATTCCCAGTATGCCGAATCAATGGCCCTTCTCAAGGGCCTGCAACTTTAATCGATCTTGGGGGCAAAACCTAATAGTGGAGGGTGATTCCTTAAACATCATTACGTGGGCAACCGGGAGATCTACACCTCCTTGGTATCTTGTACTGCTTTATGATGAGATTGTATACATCTGCAGGGACATGGCACTCTTCTGGATGCATACCTCAAGGACGTCAAACGAGTTCGCCGACCTCCCAGCGAAGGATGGGGCTAGGGTCCATGATGAAGACCAGATCCGGTCCTTTTCAGCTTTGGACCGTAGAGGATACACTTAGAAGAACACTTTACTGTGTGCAGGCAACCTTTTTTAACCCATTTTTGTAAACTCATTGTAAATTTGTAAAGGGCCATTTTTTGTATACTCGCTGTAAATTTTGTAAGGGGACAAGACCTATGCTTTTTTACCGAGAGTCCCGTCTAGAAGGCATTCTTGGATTAACCCAAAATTGTACTCTCTTTCTCTAAAGCAATACAAAAGTTAACATTTATCCCCAAAAAAAAACTTTGGCAGAAAAATATCTAATAGCATGGGGACTGATGAATGATCAATATTAATGCTTTATGCATCATGCCAAACATATTGGCAGGTCATCATTAGATCACCCCTATCAAACTTATTGAGGGGGTCTCTATATGAACTGCCATTTCACCATGTAAAGAGACTTGAAGTCTCAAATCCTGTTACCCAAATGAAGTGACTTGTGTGATCTATGAGTGACACATCCTGTGCATTAATCCAAAGTTCCCAAATGGCTCCATTCCAAGAGCCCTGAGTGTTTCTAAATGTGGCTAGCATCATACTCTTTATGGCCATGTGTGCACGGTAAACATGTGCGTCATGGCTATGCATCTGCATAAGCTACACATGTTACATGACAGTGTCCATGCAAAGCCCCTGTGGGCATTTAGTTTTTATCCTTCTATTTGGCCTTTGCCTATCGATTGTAAGTATAACATGTGTGGGCAAGCGGTTTTTTGTTCAATCTATATGCATTTTTCAGGATGAAATTGTTGTAATTTATGCTTTATTTTTGTAGCTTTATGTTACAGAAGCTTTTTGCATTTGTTGATCACAATGCTGCTCCAGAGAGTTCTGATGCGCTGCAAAATCATGATGTTTTTCTGCCTGGACATCTATTAAGCGTTTGTCTTAAGGTTAGTTTTCCTGAAGCATTATTCTCCTTCTACGGTTATTATGCACTTACAAAGCACTTTGCTTGAGCTTTCATGAGGAAAAGAAGGTCTATCACTTAACCTTGTTTATTTTATCAAGCATGTTTAATTGTTGGTAGAAATTATGAGATGTACATCCAACACCTTTATTGTTTTGTTTCTTTGGATGTAACCTATTTTGGGTGAACCGCATAAAATGATGTCTTTCACTTTTGCTTGTGTTGCGGTTTGATTGTTTCCCGTTTTACTTGTTTTAGTTCTTTCTGTGTTTTTTCTAAATTTACTGCATATATTATTAATCATAGGCATTTATTTTCCTAAAATCAGCTTCTCAGCAATTGGCAAGTCAATTTTCAGGTGTTGGATTTGTTGTAGTGGGTAGCTCACTACATCAAGTAGGGATTTGAATTATACTTATTGGCCAACAACAGACAACTGCTCCTTCTCTCAGGACCGTTGCTATGCAAACTAGACCTTCTAGCTCTTTCTTCGATATTGGGCATCCTAGCAACCCATGTTGTCCTTCATTCACTTAATTTGCCTGCTACTTCTATAATCCCATACGAAGCTTAAACAACTAAACCAACATGGTGGTTGTCCCACAACTCTACCATAAATACTTGGATCTAATTATACAAATTGTCTCCCACCCTTTACTGTTTCATTACACTTTTTTTACCTCATCATCAAAATCCTATGCTAATCTACCCTCTGCTCCTCTTTCCTCTCTTTACCTCAACCACAAACACTTAATAGAAACTAAAATTCCATCTTCTCTTGGCCCTAAGAGCCTGACCCCTTTTTTTTTGATAAACGTTAACATTTGAATTGCTGGAAGAGGAGTAGTACAAGTTTGGGGTTAGCCCTAAGAGCCTGACCCCTTAACAAAAAACAACCTTCCCAGTTGTTATCTTACTGAAATAACCGACCTTGGTCCCTTAACCATCCAGGGGGGACTTTCTCCAGGAGAGACTCCAGCAGCTGAAAATTCTTTTATCACAGCTTTCCATCCACCTAGATATGATTATAAGAATAACCAGATATGGGCTGCCTCTATCTGGAATTCGAATTTCATTCAATTTCTACTCCTTATTTCGCACCTGCTCTCCTTCCCTTCTAAGGAGATTAGAAACATTGCAATGTCGAGCAAAAACCATTTCTTTAGAAGATGCAAACAATCTGAACACCCTGGAGCCTGGATTTCTCTGCTTTTCCCAACCAAAGAATATTGATCCATGTGGGGGGACTCCCCGTACACACTTGCCATATTTCCACTTACAGGGCCATTGGAGAGCTCTGTGTAGGTTTTTTGAAGATCAATAAAAAACCACCCTCACAATCTTCCCTTAAGCTCTGTCTCTATCTTAATCCTCTCTCCTTCACCTCACGTTATTCCCGACTACGTCATTATGGACAGTGGTCTTTCCAATATCATATCTCTGTTGTTAGCCAAGAGACAGAGTCGTTTAGGAGCTCAGTGAACCTTGTGGAACTTCGGATTGATCTTCCAGACATTGTGCATGGTGGACCATTGTAGTTTGTAGAAAGCGTGTCTCCAATTGGAGGAAGCGCAAATGTTTGCCCCATCTCCCCCTTACCCCTGTCCATATTGCCATCATATTCCCATCTGTTAGTCCATACTAGCGCAAATCTTTGCCCCATCGCCCTTAGGCCCTCCAGTAGATGACCCTTGTCTGGCCCAATCCACTGCCCTGTCCCCTCCCACCAAACTGCCTAAGCCTGAGTCGCCTCTCTCTATCTCTGTAACCACAGAGGTCCCCCAGGCAGATGAACAAACTATCATGAGTCTCACTATGCTGCCCCTCCTCTCATGGCCGCCCACTTGGCTAACCTAGCAGTTCAAGGTGGACTCTCTCTGAACCTTGTGGAGAAAAGCACCAGCACCTGTCTCTTCTCAGCCTTCACCGAACCTCAACGAGCTCAAGAGGGTGATTGAGGAGATCCCTTCATCCAGAGTATTTGGGGATCTTTTATGATGCTCTAAAAAATAAATCTAAAAATGACCAAAAGGTCCCCAGCCTGAAAACTCATGGTAATGATGTCCAGATGCTACAAAAGTTTGACATAGTCATTGCAAGATTTAAACAGAGCCATAAACTAAAAATCAGGTGAATTGGACATTAGAATAAGAGATTTATCAAGTTCGTCATGAAGCTACAGTGCCATGAATGGTGCCTCTCTCGGTCAACTTGAGAAGGGAGGTCAAATGGGACCCAAAAGAGTGCAAATTTGGTCTGGAATTTGGAAATGATGTTTCGAAGTGATTCTCCAAAAATTATGAAGTTTGGAGATGGATGAGTGGGTGATGTAAGGTTCACTGTCAAGCTACAATTCCATGAATGGTGCTTATTGTGGCACTTGTAAATGGAATTCAGATATATTAATAAAAGAAAATAGAAATTTTGATTTTATACCTTGGGATTCCACATTGCCTCTTCTTTCACAAAGGAGATGTTTCGATCTTGCTAATAGATGCCATCTGTGTGAGGAAGAGGAGTCTCATTCCCACCTTTTCTTCCGCAGCTACTTTGCGTGACAGGGGGAGCATTCACTTAAGGTATTTCAATTACCGGTGGGTCATCCCTTTATGATTGAACTTCTTTTCTCCGCGTACTTCTCCCCAGCTTTTTCCTCCGTGGGATTATTCCTTCAGAGAGCATCCTTTCTAGTCGCTTTATGGTCAATTTGGAAGGAGCGGTACTCCCGTATCTTTTGCGAGATTGTTGGGGTTTGTGGCCTCTAAAGCTCGTGAGCGCATGTAAATAATAATTATAGTGGATTCTACACTTCAACGTGAGTTTGTGTGTTAGTTGACTTACTTATGGTTAAGCGGTCTATGGGCCTCGTCATAACCAAAATGCTTTCCCTTGGGTAATATGGCACTACCTTAAAGGGTTTGTAGAGGATCATCCCTTGTTGAAGTTGGAGAGACACCAAACGATGGCTTGTGGGCTAGGAGAGCTTCGTGGTCTCCTTTGTGCGGATGTAGGGCTGTGAGAGAGAAGGCTAAATCCTCAACAAACTTCTGCATGACATTTGCACATGACAACCGCATTACTGGAAAACAATCTTGAAAAGGGATATGTATACATGTGAATAGAGAGAATCCCCCTTGCACTATATAGATATGTGCGTGTGACTTGCTCTCAAGTGGGAGAAATGGTAAACCATATTCTTGGACCATGGTTTCAGTATTTTATTGGCGAGCTTTGGTGAACCAAACATGAATGTATGAGATTATGGATCATGGGTTTCGATGGGCCGGTTTGAGAAGATTGTGGAGGATCATGGCTAGTTGGTCGGTGGAGTGCCTTGACAATCATTTTTTTATGCATTTTAGCTGGTTCTCTCTTACATAGTTTGATTTCAATTTAAGAAATTTTTTTGTGAATTTGAGTAACTTTTTCAGAAATTTGAAAATTAATTTCATATGTAAAACCCTTAAAAGGGCATTTTAGAAATTCCAAGGATTGTGGAGGGTGGGGTGGAGCACCTTGGGGCCTTTGGATCCAGTTCTCAAGTGCATCACTCTCACATGTGTGGGGGTGTGGGGGCCTATGGGGCACACACGTCACTTCTATGAGGTGGCATATTCCATTCCCTTCTTTTTGTTTTGTTTTGCTTTTTATTTTTTAAGATGTTTTATTAAAGAAGGAAATCTAGTTTAATCTTACGAAAAGATTGTGACCTTATTTTGTGAGAGTTCAGAATATTTTGTTTCTGAAAAATATTCTCTAAATCCTTAGCCAAATCTTTTTGACCTTTTGATTTCCTCCAATCTTGTGAAAGATAAGGGAAGTTTTACAAGATTATGTTTTGGTTGGTCTTATCCTAGGTTGACTAGGAGTAAGCATGGGTCAAAGATTCATGGGGATAATGTTTTTAGATTGTTCCCTAAATCATGATGGCTGATTCATAGGATGGATGGCTCAGATGTGGTCATGATGAGTGATAAGTTGGATAGGCATATCTAAGGCCCTTGTGGCCAATATAAGATGGAGACCTCCCCTATTCTCCACACAAGCTTATGGAATAAGGTTGATTGATTGAAAATAAGGTGTAGAGATTGATTGAAATTAGATTTGTAATGCACGGTATTTTCTCTACACAAATATTTCATGGGAATAGACTTATGGAAACTGAGGGATAATGGTTCTTGCCCATTCCTTTAATCATGATGGCTGATCTAAGGAATGAAGGGCTAAGATCTCTTTACCCCACAGGTCTCAAAGATCTACGGTCAAGATTGAGTCTCATAATGATGGCAAAACCATATCCACCTCCCTGTAAATATTCTCTATGCGAGTGTATTCTTGACACTTATGAAATTGGATTGGCCTCTCTCTGTCTCTCTCTCTCTCCCATTGGTGGGTATGCTCGTCTTTCTCTCTCTCTCTTATTTCTCTTTTCTAGTTATGGTTTTGAGTTGCTTTTAGCCTAGAGTAAACCCTAAGGGGCACGCCCAAGCCACTAGAGGGTGGCTTGGTATGCCCCACTCTCTCTCTCTCTCTCCCCCATTCGTGGGTATTCCCCACTCTCTCTCTCGCTCTCTTATTTCTCTCTTCTTAGGGTTTTGAGTTGCTTTGAGTCTAGAGTAAACCCTAAGGGGCACGCCTTAGACTAGATGTACTTGTGTTATTGTCTTATGCTATAAGATTGCTTCCATCATGTCATGCTTTTAAGAGGTTATGCCTAGGCTTCCTGAATTTTAGGTTAGGACCAAGATCCTGTGTGCGTGGTGAGGGGTGTATAAAGTCCTTGGGGCCTGAGGCCATGTATTCGGTAATTCTAATAGCTCCATGTTTCTTGATTCTTCAGGCATTGTATTTTTGTTTGATTGTAAAGAATTGCAATGGTATGCATGAGAAGATCGTATATTGTATAAGGGTATATTCTATGAATAAAGTTGTAATTTTGGACACATGTAAGTGTTCTAGCTGGTATGAATAAAAGAAAGAAACAAAAAATTTTAAATGTATATACTTACTTGGTTATATCACATTGTCCTACTTTCAAAGAAACCCTTGAAGGGGCGTTTCTAGTATTTTCCAACTTATAAGTGGTAGAGTGGGACTACGTGAGGGGCCAAGGGCCTTCATGGCCCACACGTCTAACCGCATAGAGGTGGGGCACCCATGTCCTTTCTTTATTTGTTAAGGATATTTATATTTAAAGAAAAAATTATTACGAAGTTTGGTTAGTTGGAAACCTTTTGATTTCCAAATTAGTTAGGAATTGGACCTTCTATTTAGATTAAATTTTTCGAATGAGATTATAAGTCTTTTTGAGATAAAAAGAGTCCTAATTATGTGGGACTATGAAAGTTCTAATCCTCGATTGATTAGAAGTGGATATGGGTCAAGGATCTGAGGTACAATGGTTTTGGGAGTCCTCAATCTTGTTGGCTGATTTGAGTGATGAAGAACTTAGGTTAATTCTCTTGTCGCCTCACAGGTTGCCTTGTGAGTCCCAAGTTTATTAGAAGTCCGATTTTGAGTTTGGTGATACCCCAAGTGGTAAGCACCATAAATAGGGGTGGATATTCTCATCCTAGCAATTGCAGTTTGGCAACTCTCTCCCCTTCTTTCTCCTCCATGCGATTCTCTCTCTACCTTTCTCTAGCTCTCTCATAGAGGGTGGCACACGCCATCTCTAGGGCCTAGCCCATAGAGATGGCACGCATCATCTTTGGCCCTTGTTTTTGTGTTGTCTTAGAGGGCAGCCCAGTCTTAGTTTGTGTTGATGAGTTCAAGATTGGTGCCACATTATGGCATGCTCTAGTTTAGGGGTTGCAAAGAACCCAAATAGTGTTCGTGATTAATGCTCTCAGCCCCATAGTTAGAGGGTATTGTTAGACTTTCTTCCTAGCTAGAGGACTCAGGAGGATCAAGGGACCTGTGTGCTTTTGGTCTGGCAACCGGGTATGGGGTGTGCTAAGTCCTATCGGGGTGACAATAGGCAAAATTCAGACAAGTCTACCTAGCTTTATTTGTTGTTCTATTTTTTTAGTTTAAGTCAGTTATTCAGTTCTTGATTCCTATTTTTGTATTAGATTATGAATTAGAATTTCTATTTCAACTAGGATCCTATTTAGATTGATATTCCGACTTGAATCAAGATTCCAATTTGATTTAGAATTTTAATTCGATTTTTTAAGTTTTATCTTCTTTGCGGCGGTAAAAGCTAAATATCCAAAGGTTTTATATTCTGCTTCCACTGTTTAATTTGTTGTTGTACGCAGAATTACCCAGTTGCGAATAAAAAGAGACATTTTTGAATGTACACCATGGGAATCCTACGTCCGCTACTTCCATGTTGGATGAGTTGTGAATGAATTGCTTGTGGAACTTTAGTGTTTATGGAAATCGCGACAAACTATACATAATATATTGTCAACATCTCAAAAGGAAAAAAATAGAGAAGTATTTCTGTTCTTTATCAAAAAAAATTATGAGAATCACAGTTGAAGGCTTTAATTTCTTCGTATTATTCTGGTGTCAGTTTGGGATGTTGAGCTCCACCATATTTCACTTGATGCATATGCGATTAACATTTCTATTTTTGATTATGAATATTTTAACTTGTTATATTTTTTTGCATTATGAATTCGTATCATTTATTTTTGTTATTGAATTTTGTATTTATTTGCTTATTCTTTTACTTATGAATTTGTGGTCTTGCATGGTATTATTGTGAAGTAACTATCTATGTGTTGGTTTTTAGATATTCCATAGTTGTTGTGACCAGGGTTTAAAAATCTAGTTTGGGTGGCGAAACCCGTCACACATCATGTCCTAGTCGACTCAAGCTGATTCGATTGATTCGGTTTTATCGTGCTAGAAAAAAATTGGAAGAAACTTCAAAAAATTAAAACAACGGGAGTCAATTTTGTGAAGAATAATTGATGAAAATTTGATGCATATTTTGATTTAATAATAAAAATGTTTGAGTACCTGGAGTTTGGTTCCTTTTTGACTGGCAGACAATAATTTTGTAGTCTAAAGCGTAAAAAGGACGCAAGATTGATAAAATCTGAACCCTGGGTAACGAAAAAAATTAGCATAATATCTATAAAAAGTTATGGTTTTAAGAAAAATTATTTCATAGAACTTTAAATGGTGAGAAAAATAATTAATTATAAATATTATTAAAAATTAACTAAATCCTACATGAGAGAGACTAAAAAAAATAGGCAAAAGCATTAAATATAATAGTTTTAAAAAAGAATTCAAATTTTCTCAAAATTTTTTTGGCAACGTAAATAGGAACAAAAAAGTAATTAAATTCAAATGTTATTCAAAAACTATCTAAACCCTACGGAATGACCGACAACAAAAACAATTCTAATTTTCTAGTTTAGAAAAAAAATTAATTTTCTTTAATTTTTCAGAAAATAAGATAAATACGAATATTATTAAGAATTTTTCTAAACCCTACCTAAGACAGCTAGGAATGAAAAAAAATTAATATAAATCAAAACAAAAAATTATATGAAAACAGGATACATGCAAATATTTATCTAAACCAGGCTGAAGACAACCAAGAGCTAATTATTCATAGAGAATATTTTTCAGAACAAAGTAAAAATAACTATTCATAGAAAATGGAAAAATAACGACACGAAAGCATAAATTCATGAAATCCAAACCAAGTGTTTCACGTCATGTAATACGATCTTTCTATGAGAACTGCAATAAAAAATCAAAATAAATGCATTTTAGGAGAAAATGCGTAAAAAAATGGTGAAAGAAAAACAAAAGCTAAATCTTGCAAGTTCTTGGTTTTGATTCAAAATTTTTGCTAGGGCTTTTGTACTTCAATATTTTGGGAACAATTAGCAACAATTTAGAACATTTTAGTGAAACATTGAGTGAGAAATTATGTATTTTTGTTTTCGTTTAAAACGTAGTCCTGAAACTTGCACTCTAGATCTCTTAAAAAATGGGCTCTTCTATTCGTAAAATTAAGATGTGGATATGTGAGAGGGTTACAATCGATTGTCTTGAAACAAATTTTAAAGACTTTTATTAGATAAAAAATTAATAGAAAGGCTGATTAGGTTTCAAAAATCATGTTAAAAGTAGAAGGCGAGTATTAATTTTGAATTTTGTTAAAGTTTAGGTTTTTATACTTGAAATCAATTTGGGTGCTTGTAGATCAGAATGTTACAAATATATTGAAACAAAGTTGAGATATTTTCATGAAGAACTGAGAGAGATCTAGCTTTACTCTTTTGTTCGTATAAAGTAAAAAAAAGGTACGCATGTCGACTTGCCCAAGTCCGATTCGACTCAGCGATTCACGAGTCGGATTGGTGACATTTTAAACCATAGTTATAACTTGAAACCTTTTGAGTTTGTACTGTAAGTTTAAGGAATAATGTTATTGCGTTTTCTATTTTGTTTTCTGACATGTAGGACAAGCTACAACATTGGCTATATAAGTGTCGGAGTCTACTACATGCGGAGATCCACAAGGAAGAAAAAGATTTTGATCTTAGAAACAGTATGATCCTTATGTTATTATTTGTAGTGTCTACTAGAATATAGTCTTTTCTTACCCTTTTTGCATGTTTTAACATTTACTTTAGTTGGTTTGCCCTAGCTAAGATTTTAAGATGTTGGTGCTTTATTGTCCCATTTGTGTAACATATGGTAGTTTTATTCTAGTTGATTGCATGCTAAGAAGTAAATGCCCTTTTTTTTCTATAAACATTGAATGTATTTAAGCTTAGCTGTCTTTGTCATAGATCAAATTCTTAGTTGTCCAATTTCATGCCGAATTTAACCTATTTTCTTGTGAGAGATATACCTTGCATCAAGGCTTTTGTTTCCATCTCTTTCTTGCTGTTATAGGTGCGCGCATGGCATTTTATCCTTTCTCAGACACAACTTAATAAATTTTGCTGACTAGCCTTGACATTTTGTGTATATTAAATCCAAAAATACTATGATATTCCTTGACCGCTTGCCTGCCTTTAGTCGCTCACCCAATCCTCCTCGCGGGAGGGTTGGGCAAAGATTACCCATCCACCTAAATCTCCAAAATGATGATTCTAGTGTGGGATATTAGGGACTGGGTAGTTACAACAAAAGAAATGCCGTCCGAACCTTAGCACAAAATCTGCAACTTGAGTTGCTGGCGTCAATTGAAACCAAGCTTCCCGTGTCTTCTCATTTAGCAGTTAGATGTATCAGAGTCTTTGGGGGCGTTAGCGGGAATCTGGGTATGTGGGATTTCTCAACACATTCTTTGTTCCCTCTTCAGTTAGGAACGTTTTAGTCAACCTATCGCTATGGAACGGTACTAATTTTGCCACTATTAGGCAAAACGTCAATATGAGTATCCCAATTCCTTGGCCCTTGGGTATTAATAGGGATTTCAATGTATTTAGGAGAACACTTGAGAGAAACGCGAGGGGGGAGGGGGGGGAGGGGGGTTGCTAAATAACTTCTTGTATGGGAGCTTTCTCGTAGCTCCTTGAAAGGAACCTACTTTTTGATGTCCTGCTTGTTGGTTTTTTTGCCATTAAAACCCGTAAGAGCTTGTAAAAATAAATAAATATAGTGAATTGTGTACGTTGCAGTGGGAGTGTATGTTGGTTGATTAACCTTGGGTTGGGCGATGTATGGTCGAGGTTATTGTCTAAAACCCTTTGTCCTTGGTCATAGGCACTACCTTTGAGGGTCTCCTAGAGTGTCATCCCTTGTTGAAGTCGGAAAAATGCTCAAAGTTTATTTATAGGCTAGGAGAACTTTGTGATCGCCTATTCGTGGTTGTGAGCTTGTGAGGGGGGGAGGGTTAAATTCTCGACAAAACTTCTGCACCATATGTAAAAATGACAACCACATTCTGTGAAGCAACCCTATAGAGGGATTCATGGACATGTGCATAGAAACGCTACTCCTTGCACTCTGGTGATATGTGGATGTGATACTCTTTTAATGGGGGGCGCCTGTAATCCATATATTAGGACCGTGGTTGCTCTATTTTCTTGGCTTGTTTTGACGGGCCAATCATGAGGCCATGCACATGAATGTAGGTCATGGATTTTGAATTTTGCTTATTCTTTTGTTATTTTCTAAATATTTTCATATTTCTTAAAATATTATTTTGTGGCTTATAACCTTTAAAAGGGCAGTCTGAGATTTCTGCAACTTTATAGGGCATGGTGAGACCCTCGTAAGGGGGACATGGGCTTGGGCCTCACACTTGTTGGACCCACATGGGGGTGGGATATGTAGGTGACATGCCGCTCCTAGGTAGCATGCCACATCTTAGGTGGCCTTTGATAACTATCAATGTAGTTTCCCTACGAAATTCTCTACTGCTGACTTTTCTGGATTCTTGGAGGAAGGTGAAAATTGGTAGCCGCAAAACCGGGAACCCTCTTTGATAAACTGTGGTTCTAGTATTTTTATTTTATTGGTATTGGAAAAGCTGTCTTAACCATTCCTTAGGTATTTCATTGATTTGATGTTCAAAATGCATATTTTGATTAAGATTTTCTTTCTGCATCCCATCTAATGGATTTTTTATAAAATGTACGAATGAGATTGAAACATAATATCTGAACATAAGTATAATGTACCAAAATGCTTCTCGCTGCTTCAATTCTGTCTCTTTGAGAAATGAATCACAAAACAATAAAAAGAAGAGTTTTAGAGAGAGATAGAAATGGGCTCAAATGGGGTGGTCAGTGTGGTGGGGCACCACAACATGGCATTTTGAGTTCCATTCCGACTTACAGGTGCTTGGAACTCTTGCTAATCCATTTATGTGAATAAAAAAAGCTCTTGATTTTATTTGTTCTCGAGTGAGTTTGTTTGTTGATCTTGTGCATTTTCTATGGTCGATGTTTTGGAGTCTTTATCTTTCTTTAAAATTTCCTTATTGCGGCATATTAACAAAACCATACACTATTGGAAAATAAACATTTCGAATCAGAAGTCTTTGCTAACAAATCTAAATTTCAACTTCCACTGTTAGAAAAAAGTTCCAAAGAGAGACATCTGATATAACAATTGTCAAGGCAGCAGGGAAGAGTAATTTTGTGAAGCACATCCTCCTGCATTTTTTTCTTTGGTCTTTTTGTTCATCTTTACCCCACCAATTTTGTACAAAGCAGTTTATTGTCCTGGCATATACCACTATGGTAAAGCCTGTAAAGCTCTTGTTACAAGGGCATATACAGCTAACATTTTTCCCAAAAAGAATGCGAATATATAATCATGAAATTAAACATGGAAGTCTTTATTGAAACTTGTACAACTAATCTGAAAGGGAAGCAACACAAAACCTCGAATTATCTAGTGATGTACTAGTAAACCAAGACAATGCAACACTAACAAGTATCTATAAATGCACTAAAATGCAGAAAAAAAATGCATTTCTTGGGTATTCAATTTGATTAATATTGGGATACATATCTTGTATCAATGAGATAAAGGATGCATGGATTTGAGTCACGACTTTGGATAATTCAATGGTTGGCCTCATTCTTTCGAGGTAATATTGGGTAACAGGCATACCATCAAGTGCCTGCAACATATTCCGAACAGCTGATATGCAACCATCACACTTCATATCAACTATGAAATCTGTCCACAAAAAAGCCAGTGAATTCAAAATTTTGCAAAAAGGGAAAAGTTGAAACTGCTCTGCAAAATTTTGTAGTCCAAATTTCACCTGATTTCTTTTACTGTTGCCCATAAATTTGTTAGTACGTTATCAATATTTTCCCCAACTTTTTTCCCCTTGATTTTGTGGAGTGCTTCCAACTTTCTTGTAAATTTCAAAATTCCTGAATTATGAAACACTAGTTTACTTTCCACTGAATGGCCTGAGGTAATTGGATTAAGCTCAATAAGAACAATATATTCACATAATGGACCATGATTCACACTTCAAGAATATTTCAGTAAATTCAACCAAATTTAACCATTCATTTATGTGTTTAAATACATTTTTCTTGGATTTCAACCCAAATTCAGTAATTCCCCCAAACTGTAACAAATTATCTACCCAATTTCACTGAAACCATGCTCAAGGGCTACACTCACCAGAATCTTTCGTAAACTTTCACCATCCTGCAAAGCAAAGGAGATGGAAAACACAAGGAAAAAAATGGAAAACAAAAAGGAAATAAAAAAAAAACCAAATCAGACAGCTCAATTTCTCAAGAAGTATTCCCTAAGAAAAAAAAAAGAAACCAAAAACCCTGTTCATCATAAAGGATATCGTTTTCTTAATTTTACTAGTTGATTTCTCTGAGATTGGTATTAGATGTTGCTGAATCCATGAAAAGAGAAGCTTTCAAATGCTTAAATCCTCCAAAAAATTTAGAAGAGATCCCTTGATTACCTTTTTTTTTTTTTTAATGCAGTAACCCTAAATTTGCATAAGGGTTTCTATTATTTGAATTTGAGGATAGAGATGATGAAAAGAAACGAAGTGTGGCTGGTACAATATCTAATGATGCTGCCCTAAAAATTTGCAGCGTTTATTATCCGGCAAGGATAAAGAGTGGGACTTTCATTGAAAGTTGTTGTTCATGCCTACCTATAAGCGGCAGCTTTCCTTAAGGGGAACAGTGAATGGCGGGAAGTCGAGTTTCGACTTTCACCATTTTTAATGTTTTCAAACCGGTGAAAACCACACTAGCGGGGAAAGTCGGGTACTTTATGCTGTTTACGCTGTTATCACAGACCTTAGGTATAATAGGTTTCCCACGTGTTGGCAAAGTCGTGAGGTTAAATCTTTTAGAATATTTTGTGGGAGCAAAATAAGGTGTGATCAAATATTTTGTGCTTAGGCAATATTTGAGAAATATTTGAATTTTGACTTTTAATTTGTGGAAACTATACTTTGTGATATAGTCAAATTAGAAAATTATGTTATCCTATGTTGACTCGGAGTGGATAAGCGTCAAAGATTCAGGGAAAAATTATCCTAGGTTCCTCCCAAAATCATGGTGGCGGATATGATGGATGGATGATTCTGATTTGTTTCTTTATCACCTCATAGCTCTTTCTCCCTTCTCCCTCACTTTCTACCCCCTTATCCTAGAAGAACTTCTTCAGCCAGGCCAGAAGCATAAGTTGTTAATCGGCAGTTCTCCCAACCAGATAACGAACAAAGACCTTATTCCTTTGGGCACTGATGCTACTCATTTGATGGACCACTTTCCTCCTGATGCAGCTTCTATCTTGAACTTGCTGGCCCCTCACCTTTCGGATACCCCTCACCTTGTCCACATCCGCAGAGTTCACACACTACTTGTTGCTTGGCCCTCCTCTTCCCCCTTAATGTTCTCCACTTACTCCTCCATACAGATACACCATTTCCTCACTTACCTTCGTTCCTTTTCTTATGTAAACCCTCCCCATGTTTTTCCCTTCCCTTATGAAACTCGTTCTACCCCTTCACCCCATGACCCCATTCCAAACCTGGACCCTAACCACAACTGATTCATTCTTTGTCCCCTCCCTCTTCCTCTGCTACTC